CCTGGATGGAGGCAGGGCCCTGGCAACCCCCCAGCCCATGGGGGAGCCCCTGACCCCCAGGCTGGGCAGCAGTGCTGGGCATGGGGCTCCCCCAGCCCCGCAGCGCCTCACCTGGAGATGAGCTCTCGGCAGGAGCTGGTCAGCGCCGGGGTCTCGCTCTTCACCATGCAGGTGAGAGCCGACACCACGCCGGCAGCCAGCAGCTTCTGCACCCGCCGCCGCACAAAGTCCGGCTTGTCCTGGTCCAGAGGGACGGGCCTGTCAGGGCCGGTGCGAGGCCTGCCATGCCCCAAGACACCCCCAGCACCCACCTGCTCCAGGCTCCCTCCACCCATGGCCCGTCCCGCACCACCCGGGCCTTGGCCCTGGCTCCCACCCCCAGGGCCGGCTCTGCCCCCTCACCTTGGGGTGCTGCTGCGGGACGTGCTGCTTGGCGTACTTGGCCAGCTCCAGCATCTGGGGATCCGGCTCCTCGTGGTCGTAGCTGTTGCTGCAGTTCACCAGCGTGGAGGCCACGGCGAAGAGCACGCTCCGGTCCTCCGACTGCGGGAACAGCAGGCAGCGCTCAGTGAACGGCCATTGCTGACCGGAGCAGCCCTGGGCGCCACAGGGACCCGCTGCAGGCAGCGGCCCCTGCACCACCACCCACTCCAGCCCATTTGCCCCCAGTTAGGTATGCAGCCTCCTACCACAGCACAGCCCCTGCCCTCTTCCCCATGCCCCCCAGCACCTTGGCCAGCTGGAACATGGCCTGCAAAGCAGCCTTGTCCTCCACAAACTCCTCCTTGACATCAGCGTCGAAGGTGAGGTAGGCCAGCCCCTCGGCCGCCCAGCGCCGCGTGCCTGCGTCCATCGCCTCATTGCACAGCCACCTGCGCAGGGGCAGCCGTGAGCCCGCACTCGTGGCACCCGCCGCCCGCTGCCTGGCCCCGCTGCCAGGCGCCCCCGCCCCCAGGCACGCACTTGCGGCACTGCTTGGCCAGCTTCAGGGTGGAGCCTTCGGCAAACTGCTTCATGCTGAAGTCGGTGCCGCCGGCAGAGCCCAGCTTGCAGAGCCCCTGGGGAGAGCGGTGCATCAGGGCCTG